AATGATCTCACAATCACTTTCTCAATCAAGCTTCAAAAATATTATCTTGAGGCAACCAATGAAAAAAAAAAAACTTTGGGGATACTGGATCGCCTTACCACATAACTTTTTTTTATCGGTTTACAGACTGGAGCGGAGAAAAAATTTGCTGTCTGTTGAACAGCATAATTCACTTCCCAGTTTCCATTTAGTTCCCAAATATAGACTCGTAGCACAGCATTCACCATTAAGTTATTCAATATTTTTTCGCATTTGGCTACCTTATGAATTCCTCCGCTTCTCATAGAGAGCGCGTACTAAGGCAATTTTAACTTTTAACTTTTCGTAACCAATAACTAGGAGACGGAAAAGGAGTTAGTGTTTCGCTGTTTATTTCAAAAGTTGGTTTAAAGCAGAAATGCTGTCCATCGTGATTTGGGTACTTCAGAATTCGCTTGAACCTTCGGGTGTTGTTCATCGAGGCGTCTAATGCCAAAACGAACCTCAGGCATTTGTCAGTGTGTGCATGTTAATATCCAAAATTGGATTTCAATATTAATGATCGAATTGGAACAGCGATAAATATCTGTGCAGACAAATCTTACAGCTTTTTATGCGTTTTTGCGTATATGCAAATGCGAAAACTCATATTGTGACGACCCCGGTGTGTGTGTGTGTGTTTGTCCGGGTGTTTCAACTCGACACCTAAGCAAGCTCCAGCGCCAAAATTTTGTGATTAGGTTCCCCGGCCAAGTGCTATCCCAGGACAGCGGTACCAGCCCTCACGCAAGTCTGGGCCCGCCATGCGACAAGGTGAAAGTTTTGGCAGGAAAATTGCTTACTCAGGAACCAGAAAAGCTAGGAAGCTGAAATTTTGAGGTTATGTGTCCCGTCCACATGGAACTCAAAGATTTCAAATCCAGCGCCCAGGTGTCCGTGATACCTGCATATGGTCCCGTGAGGGTTCCTAGCACGAAAATCACTAACTTGGGAACCAGGAAAACTGGGAGGCTATTTTCAAGGAATGTTCCCAGCACATTTACAACTTAAAGTCATCGAACTCTGGCCCCGGCAGACATGGCTCTTACGTACGGCCCTGTGAAGCTTTTTGGCGGGAAAATGGTTAGCTCGGTGAACCTGGAAAGCTAGGAGGCTGAAATTTTCAGGGAATTTTCCCAGCACATCAACAACTTAAATTTATCGAATTCAGCCCTTCGGTGTGCGTGGTTCTCATGTACGACCCCATGGAAATTTTTGGTGGGAAAATGACTAATTCGGGAACCAGGAAAGTAGGAGGATGAAATTTTTGCTTAGAAATAAGATTCAAAATACATTTTTGTACTGCAAAGACAGACACATGGGCTTTCATACAGACAGACACAGATATATACATGCACACACACACACACACACACACACACACACACACACACACACA